GAAAAAAACTCGCAGATAATCGAAAGAGTCGTAATAGTTGTAAGAGTTGTAAGAGTCGTGTAAGAGTTGTAAATAGTTGTAAAACAGTTTATTGATCAACTGTTAATTCATTTCCTGATTCTTCTACCATTTTTTTATCATTCCTTCCTAAAGCTTGATAAACAGCACTTCGTTCTTGTAATGCGTAAGAATTTTTTGGATCACGAATTAATACCTTATTAAAATCAGCCAAAGCTTCGTTATACTTTTCCATTGCAAAATAAACAGCACCTCTATTACACAATGCTTTTGTTATATGCCCAACATTAAACGCTTTATCTTTCAAATTTTCTAATGCTTTATTCAAATCCGTCAAAGCTTTTTTATAAGATTTTAAAGCTCGGTATATTCCACCTCTTAAAGCTAAAGGATATCCCCATTCAGGATATTTTTCCAATACTTTATTTAAATCTCGTAATGCTTCTTCACCTTTTCCCATTGCTAATAAAGTTTCTGCTCGATGTGTTAATGCCCAACGATTTGATTGATCCAAATCTATTGCAATATTTAATTGTTCAAGAGCTTCATCATATCTTTCGAGAGCGTTATATAAAGCACCCAAAGTTTCTAAAGCAAAAATATATTTAGGATCAATCCTTAAAGCTTTTTTCAAATCAACTATTGCTTCAGCATGTCTTTTTAACATATAATAAATTGCACCTCGATTCGCAAGTGCGAATACACTATCAGGTCTCAAATATATTGATTCATCAAGATCTCTTAAAGCTTCTTCAAATCTTCTTAAAGTTCTATTCATAGCACCACGACTTTGTAAAGCTTCTATATTATCAGGATTAATCCTAATTGCTTCATTCAAGTCATTTAATGCTTTATCACTTTGACCCATCATTCTATGAACTTCACCACGACTTGATAAAGCTCGAACTTGTTTTGAATCAATTTCTAATACTTTAGTAAAATCGTGTATAGCTTTATCATATTTTCCAGTTGAACGATAAATTTCACCACGATTTATAAGTACTTCTACATCATTTTGAAAAATTCTTAAAGCTAAATTATAATCGGTTAAAGCATTGTCCATGGAACCTAATTCTTGATTAATTTTTCCTCTACC